AAAGGAAAGGGAAGCTGATGCCAGATGGCCCCTCTCTACCTGCCTTAAGTTGCCATATTGGTTTCTCACAGGCTATGATGTGTAAACTTCATTAACTTGTTTAGAGTGGGCCTAACTAGATCTTCTGATTTCTATGTTGAGCAGTGACCCTTCCAAGAGATTACTGGTAGAATCAATTAGTGAATCTGGCATACCAATGCTTTCATGGTATCAAATAAGCAATTTTATTAGGAAGTTGGAATTTAAGAGGCAAGCATGAAAGCTTCTTCACAATATATAGTATTGCCTGCTGGATTAAGAAACAAGCCTCCTGCAGAGAGACTGTGTGTGGTGTGAAAACACAATAGGCAATGTTTTCTCTCATTTTCCACCAGCACTGAGCAGAAGCCCCACCCCATGTGCTCAAGGTTCTGGCCGCAATTGGAACCAAATGAGTGGCAATAGTAACTGCATATATCTCAATTGTGTCATTGTTCCAGCTTGTTGCCCAGTTTTTTCTGTGATATGTGCATATTTCATTAATTAAAATTTTAGTAAGTCATGAGATGTGAAGACCAACTTGCTTGAGCTACTTCCACAAGCTCCTTTCATGTACACATTCTCCAGAATCCAGGACCAAGAGAGCCAGAATGGGCAGCTGCTATTTAATGAACTTCTAACAGCAGCTAATCTCTGTCGACTTTCCAGCCTTACATCTGCATCTGTTAAAGTTGGGAGCAGAAGAAAGAAAGAACAAGCTGGCCTCAATCTCCAAATCAGTATAATGGACATGTAGCATGGAGCACTCTTTCCTTCTCCCCCTATTTTCTAGAATAGAACTGTTTCACAGTGTGCAGCTAGGTGTTTTTGTTTCTTTGCTGTATAGCCATGGAGAGTAAGCAGCTGTTTGGAAACTTTTTTCCACTAATGTACAGGTGTTATAAGTGCATTCAGTCAAATTCACTTTCAGTCTCCTTCATGCTCCATGCATAGGGACTTTGGGGACTTGACTTAAGTGCGCATCGCCATCCCCATCATCCATTTCACCCTTAAAGTCCAGGCAAGAGCCTAAATAAGGCTTTAGTGGTACGAGAAAACATGGGAAGGATAGTGATATAAGCGTGGTGAGGGTTAAGCTAACCAAAGTAGAAATATCCCCACACTTTTACTTTCCTAATGCTAATGTGCCTCTGTAGGAAAATATTTTTTACAATAACTTCATAAATCCATTTTTCCAGTAAGTATTCACTTTCAAAATCCTGATTTTGTGTAGGAAATAGATAAGAGAGATGGAAATATTTGTACAGAACAGATCTTTAAGAATAACTTTATCTGGGTTGCCATGCAGAGTCTCTAGTTCAGAAGAATTGATAAAAGAATGTATTCAGTGCTTTGGGCTAATTTTACTTTGAGTGACCTGATTTCACTTCATTTTAAAGTCTGTTTCTTTCTGTTACACTAATTAAAATGCAGCTGTCAGCTTAAGGATTCTGACTTTTATTTTTAGCGCTATCCATCCTTCATGTCTCTGGGCTTCCGCCAGAGATTCTATTAAAGCACTGGTAATTGTTCATTGGGCAAGATTCTCATCTAACTCATGATAGTGTCACTGAGAGTGATCTTTTCTCTCTCAGTTGGTGTATCTTTATTGCAAATGACATTTGTTACTTTGGGAGGGTTTTTTGGTAGTGTAACTGTATGTGTTATGTGTCATCAAGTAGGAATTGAGTTATAACAACTCTAATAGGGATTTCCAAAGAAGTGCAATATTTAAGGGGTGGCTTTACCGGTTGCACACAGACACACACAGAGAGTGGGTCTCTGTGCCTGATCAGGGATTCAAACCCAGGTTTTCTGAAATCTATTGTGTCACTGTTCTAGGGTTTAAAACATTGATATATTGAATCTATATCATTTCCTTCAAACCAAAAGTTGTAGTAGAATCAGAGGGGTGGTGGCAGTAAAGCATGGACATGTCTTCCCTCCATAGGTGTAATGTAAGAATAACAAATCCAGTTGTTAGTCCAAATGAACTGGATAAATGGAAGCTCTATTAAGAAGCTTAGCATGTTCCTGTTAGTTCACTGCTTCCATTGGAACCAAGTCAGATTTAAGCCTGTAGAACTGAGATTGAAAAGGAACTCTTTTCCAAAATGAGGAAGGACTGGCTGTTAGTGTTTCTTATAGGCTCTCCACATACCTTCCCTGCCCTTTGATCAAGAGCAGAAATGGTAGTTCCCTTGATAATGCCTCTTTTAATTTTTGATAACGCACAGCAGTTCGTCATGATTTCAGTTGGGAAAATGTAATGCAATCATGGAAGCTAATATTTAAAAATAGAAGCTTGCAGAACTAAATTATAGTGAAAAAATGCAAGATGACAAGTATGTTTTTAAAATGCTTTTTGGTTTGGTAGTAAAAAGACAAATGGATGAAAATCAGTCTCTGGGCTAAACAAATAATTGGGCTAGTTAGTAAGTGGATATGCAAGACAAGGCACAATCCTGCCATAGTTAAACTCTGCCAGCTCCCACTGATTTCTGCGCAGTGTTTGTGATACAGTCCTATATCTGCTCAGCTTATATCGGGATGAGCAGATTTGATTGTAGTGGAACTTCTTTTGAGGAGGGGGGTGTACACATATACATAAGCACACACACATTATACACATATGTGCATACATTATGTGTGTGGTCATGACAGTGTCATTAGTCAAATACATAAATTAGAAGACTTGGTATGTATGTTGCAGGCTTGCAACATACTTTCCTGAAGGAGTGGGAAAGTATTAACCCCCAAACAAAGAAAAGTGGTTTGTTCTATCAGTGGTGATGCTACTGAAGACTTACAACCAATCAGATTGAGGGATTTTTAAATTACCCAAAAGAGTTTCCATTGCTCTGTCTTGGATCTTCCTCTCTCCAGTTGGCCATGTTGGAGAACTGATCCCAGGATACTGAGAGCTGAAAAACAAGTTGCTGTGAGTAGAATTAGTTCTGCCAGAGAAGCAAGTTTGGAGTATCAGGGTGTGTGTGTGTGTGTCTTTTCTTTCCCACTACAGGGAAGGGGACCAACCCCACAACAGAATTTGCTCCATCTGTTATTAAGCAGAAATCTGGTTCATCTTGGATGGATGAAGGTGGAGGAGGTAGTGGAAGCTACTCATTGAAGATGAGTTCCCCCCCCCCCAGGTTGTCTTTTCATAGAAGCTGATGAAGAAATAAGCTGCACTCCTATATTCAAATGTCAGAATTATTCTCTAGTTTAAAGTAAGGAAGAACAAATGTCTGTAAAGTAGAATCTGGTTAAGATTGTGCTTTCTGTCTTCACTTAAAATCGCTAACCCAGGCAAAATTCTGGTCTTCTGATGCTGCTACTGCATTTAGTCAAAAAGGCATGAGTGGTTGTTTTAGACATCTTGCACATGTAAACTAAACAAAAGCCTTGGCTTAGTAAACATTTAACTCTTCTGGATCAATATAATGTAGGTTTCTTCTGCCAATTTTATTCACAATGATAAGTAGTCCTTACTTTGGTTTTAATAGGTAGTCAAATCAATGCTGTGATGTAGCTGAGGTTTTGCATTTTGAGGCTTCATTAATTTAAAATGGAGCAATTTAAGCAAGTATTTAATTCTTCCATTAAAATAATGGGCTTTGAAAGTCCTCAACATTGGCAGGATCACACCCACTTCCTTCCTTATATAAAACTCAGTCTCATGAAGAAATGCATTTAGATTTTAAAATGTGGATTTGGTTGAATCAGCCTCCATCTGTGTGTCTATTAGAATGTTGTGCTAAAAATTATAGTAGGCTTCTACTGCTTTTGATATTTTATCTGGAAAGAAACACTGACTAACCCTGGTCACATGAAACATCCCAGTCAGCCAGTCATATATTCTGTGCAATTAGTAATTCACTTAAACAAACAGCTAATATGAAAGACAAAATCAACCTGAAGCTTGTTTTCAGCACAGTTGGTGGTACTTGGATTTGGTTGGAACACTTAAAATTGCTAAAGAAGTAGAACTCTTGAAAACTATCAGATAAATAACTTGCTTTTGTGCTTGATCACAAGAGTCAAACAACGTTTTTACTACAGAAGAGTCAGAGAAACAAAAGCATAATGCATCAAATGTATAAGAGTGGGCCTGCTATCAGTAATGAATGTTGTATTGGACATACTTAATTTATAGTCACTGTTGCTGTTGAATGTCGGCAGTAATCTAGAGAAACTTACTGATACTGAGGTCTCATTGAAATCAGTGGAGCAACTGATACTTGTTTGAATTGAACTTCATTAACTGTAATTGTTATCTGAATGTAAGTCACCATACAGTACAGTGTTTGCCCACATGTAATTAATTTTCCCTATGAAGTCACTTCTTCTGGTGTACTGGGTCCTATATGTAGATTTGTGCGCCTGCAGAACTATATTACAGTGTGTGAAATGAAAAGATAGGATGCAAGTAGTAGTCTAATGGTAATGTCCAGGTTCATACTTAGGTCTAATTGTGGTTTGTTGAATTTTGGCTTGTGTCAAATCCAGCCCTTCTCAAACTAAGCATGTTTTGTTGATCAGCTACAAATCATAATTAGCAGCTATATTTTGTTATTTGCTTGTGACTGTTTGAATCATGGTTTGTCATTACGTATGAGCTTAAAATTGTGACTTGTCTCTAGCTTATTCTCCCTATTGCCCAAAATGAAACAGGGAAACAGGGTCTGATAGAAGGAGTGGGAAGAATATATCCAGCTAATATATGTAAGGCTTAATAAAGATGAAAAGGTTTTTGCTATGGCATATTACAAAATTCTTCGGTGTAGGTCTGTTATGTGGATGGTGCTTGTTTGCAATAATAACACATACCTATGGATGTGGTTTATCATATTTGAAGCCTGTCCATTGAAGTCAGAAGAATTAGAATTAGCCATGATTAATTGTGGATCCAACCCATGGATTTTTACTACACATTAAGCTTATCTCCCCCACATAATGTTTTAAATATGTTTCTCTTGCAGCTCTATTCAGGAGCAGTTCTTGAAGTGTGTGGATGAAAATTAGGGAGGTTCCCTCAAGTTCAGGGTAAGTACAATTGGAACTAATGGTGTGCACTCATTTGTTTCCCCATGACAGTTAAATTAGAAATGATGGTATAAAAGGGCTTTTAAAATTTTTTGTATATATTCCAAAGCAAAGTCCAATGCTTTCATCATTATGCATAGATCCGGCTATTCTGGATCTATGAAGTTCAGCTAATAGAGAAAGGAAAGAAGCATGCATTAGCAGAGAAAGAGTGGCATTTCAGGAGAGGTAAGAGCACTGTTAATAAAAGCAATTCAGAACTGCATCATTTTTCTCTCATTTGTTGATTAAAATTAAGCCTTAGAAGGGTAGACTCTCTCTTTTCACCCTTCACAGCTACCATATAAAAGTTCACAACGACTGCCCTAATTTTCTTACTCCACAATTACATAGGCAAATAAAGTAAACAGCATATAACACATGCATCTGTTCAGTGTTTTCAGATCATTTTCTAAGGGGCATTATGGTACTTTCCATCTTAGAATATAAGTCAGGTGGACTGCAAAGTTTAAAGTCGTTCCATGAGGACATGTTTTGAAAGAGGGGATCCTTTGCTCAAGCACAATGAATGCTGAATTGCTGAGATCAAGAGAAAATGTTTTCAGAGCACAGCAAGCTCTAAGCTCTCTTCTCCATTTCATAGCCATTACTCTGATTATCAATCAATCAATTATGCAACGGATAGGTCTCTTGAATGCCAAATATCTTATTTACCCTTCTTCAAACAATATTTCCTATCCAGTTTGCTGCTAACTGAGGCTTCTTTGAGCTCTTTACGTATTTCCTAACCATGAGAAATTCTTTAGGAAAAAAAACTTTTCAGTAGGGTTAAACCAGTTGCAGGTTGGGTAAATAGCAAATGTCTCTTCAAAAAGAGGGATTGGCGGAAGGTCTTGCTCATTGTTCTGTGAATAGAAACAGAAGCTGAAGGACTTGGGGGAAACGTTCATAGTCACCTGGCTTCATTGTCATTTGGCTTCACCCTGAGTCATGAGCTTCCCTTATTTATGTGATGCATCTGCACTGAAATATCCATGTGTTCATAGTTCTGCTTTGAATAGAAAAATTTAGCTTGAGAGTAAGGAATTGCTTAAACTCAGCAAGCTGTCCCTGCTTTTCCCAGTTGTTGTTGTTGTTTAGTTGTTTAGTCGTGTCCACCTCTTCGTGACCCCATGGACCAGAGCACGCCAGGCCCTCCTGTCTTCCACTGCCTCCCGGAGTTTGGTCAAATTCATGTTGGTAGCTTGGATGACACTGTCCAACCATCTTGTCCTCTGTCGTCCCCTTCTCCTCTTGCCTTCACACTTTCCTAACATCAGGGTCTTTTCCAGGGAGTCTTCTCGTCTCATGAGAGGGCCAAAGTATTGGAGCCTCAGCTTCAGGATCTGTGCTTCCAGTGAGCACTTGATTTCCTTCAGAATGGATAGGTTTGTTCTCCTTGCAGTCCAGGGGACTCTCAAGAGCCTCCTCCAGCACCACAATTCAAACGCATCAAGTCTTTGGTGGTCAGCTTTCTTTATGGTCCAGCTCTCACTTCCATACATCACGACAGGAAAAACCATAGCTTTGACTATTCGGACTTTTGTTGGCAAGGTGATGTCTCTGCTTTTTAAAATGCTGTCTAGGTTTGTCATCACTTTCCTCCCAAGAAGCAGGCATCTTTTAATTTCATATGTGTAATGGGTTGTATGTTTGTGTGTTTTGCTTGCTTCGGTATTAAGTTTTGGGGTGCACATGTATTTCATCCTGTCTCCTACTGTTATTACATCTGGCCTTGCAACTATCACCAAGTATTTGCAAGGCTATTTTAAAAGGGCCTGAGGGTTGAGCCATTCAGTCAGTGACTGTTAGCTGAGTATTAGCTGCCTTAGCAATCATACCTGGAATGAAGCAGTAGATAACCAGATAGAGTAATAAGCAATGGCTTTTCTGATAGAAGCAAGGGAATGAGAAGGAAAGGAGATATTGGGTGTATGTGTACTTTTTAGAAGCAAAGAGAATACTTGTGTAGTGAGTATTTTTACGCTACCTTTTAAGATTTTGTTTTTCTTCCTTAACCTACAGATTTTGTAAGACTTGCCCTGTTCAGCATCTTCTGGATCCAAACTAGTCCTCAGCAGTTTCTTGCTGAAAATTGCTGCTTTGGTTTTTAAGGGCTAGATTTGTTTCCTGCATGTCACTTTAATAGCTATCATAGGATGTAAGGTTAAATGAAGGTCAAACTGCTGCTTTGGAATATGAAGTATTTTTAGGTTATATTGAATATTTAGGTTATATTAAACATGTTATTGTCAATCTTTTCACTGCCAGCATTTACTTCTTGTCTGAGAAGGTCTGCTTCAGTCCCCCCCCCCCCGTGAAAAGTTCTACAGAACTGTATTCATTAGTTGTGGACATGGTGGCGCTCTGGGTTAAACCGCTGAAGCCTCTGTACTGCAAGGTCAGAAGACCTGCTAAGATCGAATCCACACAATGGAGTGAGCCCCCGTCGCTGGTCCCAGCTCCCACCAACCTAGTGGTTCGAAAGCAAGCAAAATGCAAAAATGCGAGTAGATAAATAGGTACCGACTCAGTGGGAAAGTAAACGGTGTTCCGTGTCTAGTCATGCTGGCCACGTGACCACGGAGGATTGTATGCAGACAAACACTAGCTCTATGGGTTGGAAACGGAGATGAGCACTGCCGCCTAGAGTCAAACACAACTGGACAAATAGTCAAGGGGAACCTTGACCTTTTTACCATCACTTTATATGTGTCCATTCTGTGGCCGTCCAGCGCAATTTCTATGACACAAATAAGTGAAACACAATTTTGCATAATTCATTTGTAGAAAATCCTACTGTAGTGTGAGGGAAGAGAGGAGTACCTGTTCAACAACATTTGAACTAAATTAAAACCACTTATTTGTGAGAATTAAATGAAAAAGGTAAGGACTACTGCCCAGCAGTCTATATCCGAATCATTGCAGAAAAGGGATTTAGGCCCTGAATAAAGCTTCACTTAGACAGGTGGCCTTAAGCCATTCTTAATACCACCTCCTTTGTTTGCTTTTTTGTCCCATTTTTCTGTCTGTAATAAAAACCCTTGAATCAAACATATTAGTCAAATAAGTGCTATTTTAATGGCTTTATAGATTTTCTTTGTAGGCTTGCCTCATATTGTCTTTATGTTTTCAAATGTATTATATTTCTTCACACAAAATTGAGATCCTACAAAGCAAATGAAATTAGGTGTAATAAAAATCTAGGCATGAGCATAATTTATTTGATGATTTCATTGTAATTTGATTGAACAAGCTCTTGTGGGGCTTTTGATTACATTCTGTATTAGAGCTTTGCAACTAGATTCTCCAGATCATTGTCCATACTCAAAACAAAAATCTGTCAGATCCCAGCATTGTCTATTAATGTATTTTCAGGCATGTCTCTGGTTCTCAGGCACCTGCAGCTTATTCTAATTTCTGTAGGAATCTTTAACCACATTAACTGGAGTTTTAACTTGCACCAGAGTGAGCAATTGTAACATCACACCATCAGTTATTATGGATAGGACTTCCAACAGTTGCAGCATCTCTCCCTCCCACCCCCCAAAAAATCCAAACAAATTGGAAGGCCACTGTTATCAGACCTTGACTTGCATACTTTTATTTTTATAAGAAATCTTGATATCTTAGTTTTAAACTCCTGCTGCTATGGCAGACCTGGGCAAAGTGTGGCCCGAGGGCTGCTCCTGTCCGGCCCGCAGACAGTTTTGAACATCAAAACCATTTATAGCTTTTTGTCTAAAGTTGATCAGTTGCTTATATTTAACATATCGCAAAAAACCTCTTTAGTATTCGTGAAAATTAACAAGTTTAAAATAAAAACAATAATAACATCACTGTTTCATTTTATTTTTAAGTAAAGTTGGTTTGGCCCCCGAACACAGTTCAGATTTTTCATGTGGCGCCCCTATAGAAATTAATTGCCCACCCCTGTGCTATGGAAAGGGTTCCTCTCTCATTTCAACCATATGCATGCACAATCTTACTCTTTCAAGAGTCTAACAAATAAAAATTTACTTTACTATACAGTGGTGCCTCGCAAGACGAAATAATTCATTCCACGAGTAGCACTTTCTTGCGAAATTTTCATGTTTCGAAAAGCATTTTGCCATAGCAATGCATTCCTATGGGAACCCCACAAGACGAAAATAATTCATTCCACGAGTAGCGCTATCTTGCGAAATTTTCATCTTGCGAAAAGCAACAGTGGTCCCTCGGAAGACGAATGTAATTCATTCCGCAAGTAGCGCCATCTTGCGAAATTTTCATCTTGTGAAAAGTGGTTTCCCATAGGAATGCATTGTAATGCATTCCTATGGGAACCTCTCAAGACGAAAATAATTCATTCGTCTTGTGAGGTATCGGTCTTGTGAAAAACATTTGTCTTGCGAGCCCGGCCATAGAAGAAGCCATCTTGCGAGGCACCACAGCAATCGCAAAAACCATTCGTCTTGCAGGTTTTTCATCCCGCGAGGCGTTCGTCTTGCCAGGTACCTCTGTAATGAGATTTTTTTCCCATCTTGCACTGTGGTTTTTTTGTAAATAAATAAATAAATCTTTGGTTGCCTGCTCCTCCTTAGATCATCTCACCTATTGAGTGCCTTGACAGAAAAATGAAATAGTAACAGGTTGTCTCCTCATTCTTTTTTAATCCAGAAGTTATCTCTGCTTATTTTTCAATAGATTTAGAAAACTGCCGGTGCTACAAAACATCTTATCTTTTCGTTCTTTAGAAATAAATAAATTTAAAAATTAAAAAAAGGTGACAGCAAACATAGCAAAACGGATGTTAGACATTTCCTCCCTCACTCCTGCTTTCTTTTGTTCTTAGTGTAGTGAGATCTGTTCTGTCTAATGTCATTGCAGCAGCAAGACAGAAATGTGAGCCTCTTTTGTTTGAGCAAATGCTCAGCTGCACAGTTACAAGCCTTTCAAGCTCTTAACTTACTAGTCAAGCCAAGCAGTTTGCAACTCATCTGAGCAACTTAACTGTGATCCCCAATGAAAGAGTTTAAGGACATATAACATCTACCAGCCCAAGTGTTCTCTTTGCTTTCTCAACTCCTGGGTGAAGAGTGGCAACCTCGGTAGTACTGTGCCATCTGGCCAGGGCAACAGTGCAGAATCTTGTGGTTGTTGCTTGTGACCTGGTGCTCTATAGGAGAAGATGGGGAGGATTCACACATGTGGTGGCAGGGATGGGACAGTCACCTGTTTAAAACTTACAGGGTAATGCAGGACTTCCAATGGTTTGTCCTTTTTACTTTTACATAAAATCGTTATTTCTGGTTCTAATTAGAAACCAGTGACTTCCTGTTTTGTTTTTGTTTTGAAATACCGGTTATTCCTGTTTAGTTGCCACATCAGTTCCCTCATCTGCATAACAAAACTTGGTGTGGGAGGGGGTTATGAGACAGCAAGGATATAAAATGTGTGTGTGACTTTTGACAATTCCTGTTCCCTGTTCAAATGTGCATTCAGCTGGTCCATATGTGTCAAAGTTCCTCCAGCACATCTGCCACAAAAATATTCATTCTTGGGAATGTATCTTTGTTCAGAATAACTCTGTTTTCTCTGAATTTTAGCTTTTGTTAGGAGTGACAAGCCCAAACTGTTCAGGGGACTGCAGATCAAGGTATGTATTGCAGTTTTTCTGTTTTTTGTTTGTTTGTTTTCTGACTGATTTTTAAATTATAACTCATCAAACATCTTTTGATGATGACAGGACAATGAAAGCAACTGTAGGTTGGATAAATGGAAAGAATTGAGAAATGTGACTGGTTTACCTATAAATAATTGATATAACATAGGGCAATAGTGTTGAATTCATATGTGAGTCTTCATTTAATGTATAATGTAATTACAGTGGTGCCTCCCTTAACGGGCGCCCTGTTTAACGATGAAATCGCATAGTGATGAAGATTTTGCGATCGCTTTTGCGATCGCATTGCAATGTTTTAAATAGGGAAAAATCGCTTTGCGATGATCGGTACCCTGTTTCGCTTACCAATCATCGCAAAGCGATGATTTTGTAACAGCTGATAGGCGGTTCCAAAATGGCCACCGGGTAAAAAAATGGCCACCCACTGTTTTCTGGGACGGATTCCTTGCTTGCCGGGCAGCAAAAATGGCTGCTGTATGGAGGATTTTCATTTAAAGGTGAGTCTGAAGCCCATAGGAACACATTGAAGGGGTTTCAATGCATTCCTATGGGCATTTTTAATATCGCATAGCGACGAAATCGCTTTGCAGCAATTTTTGCTGCACCGATTATCATCGCTATGCGAGGCACCACAGTACTGTATACATTAATGCTTTAATGTAATAGCAGTTTTACTAGTAGGATTAATATTAATGATCAAAAGTTTTGGATGGAAGCATTTCCAGAAGGATAATTTTAGAACATGTGTTTGCTTCTTAGTTTAGCCTCTGGAGCAGATTAAAAACAGGAAATGTCAGTAGCGGACACAAATATTAAGTTGACCACTGAGCAATATGCTTAGTATAGTTTTCTTCTCCGGAGCTGCATTCATCTAAAGTTCCATTCTTTCTTTAGTCATCTTAATATTGATGCACTTAGTTGTTGTTTTTTTGTTAGTTTTTTTTTGGCAAAAGGAAGGAGTCAGTATTGTTATTGACATTTCCAAGACTTATGGAGAATCAAAATGGAATTCCTTGAAATTTTCCCTCTGAAGCTGTCTCAGCTTTAATGACTGGAAATTAATGAGTGAGTGGAAGGAAGTGGATTATTCACTGTCGTAAATATGCAGCACACTTCCTTTGAATCTTGCAATTTTTATTTTAAAAATTGATGGCTATTGATTGGGTTGCCATGTCAGAATATTATTATTATTGATATTTCCTGTACACCCCTTGTTTTAGTTAATTGCAACATTCTGTGTGATTATTGGATCTAATTTTTCCCCCAATGTTTATGTTTCCTGCACTCAGATATAGATTATAAAATAGCCAATCACGTTTTGGTGCCAGTCCTATTCTCCCTCACTACTGGCTGTAGTTTGGGTTGATGGGATTTTCAGTGCAAAAACATGTGAGGAGACACAGGTTGCTCAGTGCTGGTTCTGAAATATGGCTTTCACACATTTCTGGTTGATTTGCCTTGGAACATTTAGTTGAATAACTGAGATATGCTAAATCACTTTTGGAAGGAAGAAGAGAGGTGATGATACCAAATATATTGGATGTCCTGATCAAGGCATAGAATAAGCTTAAATGTATTTTTCTTTTAGTATGTACGTGGTTCTGATCCTGTACTGAAGCTTTTGGATGATTCTGGGAACATTGCTGAAGAGCTGAGCATCCTCAAGTGGAATACAGACAGCGTAGAAGAATTCCTAAGTGAAAAACTAGAACGGCTCTAAAAAAGAAAAAACCCTCTTGATTTGTGTGTGTGTGTGTGTGTGTGTATTAAAGGCTTTATTTCTCACATCATTTTTCATCATGGTAATCTCCTCAGACAAAGCGTGATAAACCCTGGAAATCATTACAGCTTCTGCATTAATTTTAAAGCTATCCTGTATTGTGTGGTACTCAACATCTTTTAATTAAAAGCAGAAGCTTCATGTACAACACGTTTGACAAATAGGCAGGCTGAACAAATGGCCTGTCGTGGTACATCTCAACTCATCCTAGTGGATGGAAATCATTAATGAAATGCTTTGAGATAAATGTAATGCAAATACTGAAAATTGTTATAATTTGGCCATTTTTTTAAACAGGCAAATCTATTTGTCAGTTCCTTATAACTGAGATGATTACTGTGCTTTTTAAATATATACTGCCACTCTTTGTACAGCTATAGGAATTTGAACTAAATAAGATGTACTCTTCTTTCCAAAGAGATGTCTTCTAGCATCCTCAGCATTTTGTATTTCCCAGCTCTCCTTTTTATAGAACCATTATTTACGTTATACATAATGAATGCTTCTTCTTGAAAAAAATCATTTGCACTCTTCTTCATATACAGGAACTCATGATCTGGAGTGACTACAAACTACTAGCAAAATGCACTTTAATGATGACTACATAGAAAGCCTTTAGCAAAAGGCATTTGTAGATCTGATGTCTAGTGTATTTTTGTTAAGTGTTTCCATCTTCATTCAGCAGACATGGGTTCAGTGAACAACAAAAAAATCAGCGAGAACAATAAATTACTTTGGAGAATCTGTATCCAGTGTCTCATTTATTCAGTGCATCACAACAAAATTAGTGGGAAAACTGTTCTGCAGATTCGTGTTGGACAAAGTTCACTGAGTTTTATACTAGTTTATCCTGATGGTTTATGTCACATAACAAGGGAATCTAGCAACAGAGGCATACCTCCTATGGTATAAAATCCATGGTTGTCTCACCAACGTATTTACACAGATGTCTAATACCCGTATAATAATGATACATCTGTTATGTTGAATAACTCATATGAAGTAATGTTGAGTAATGTTCCCTCAAGTTGCCCTTGACGTATGGCGCCCCTATGACCGAGCAATCTCCAAAATGTACTGTCTTCAACCACCCTGCTGCACACTCGCAAACTAGTGCCTATGGTTTCCTTTGGGGAGTCAATCCATCTCCTATTTGGTCTTCCTCTTTTCCTGATGCCTTCAGCTTTTCCCAGCATTTTTGTCTTTTCCAGTGAATCCTATCTTCTCATGATGTGGCCAAAATAGGATGATCTGAGTTTCAACATTTTTGCCTCACCACCTCTATATGGATCAGCTGTTCTCAACATTTTTGGGGTCATGGCCATAAACACAATATAAAGGAAATACAGGCCAAATTAGCATTGTCTAAGTCACATAACAAATCTTATAAGGTGATGTATGAACTGTTTCCAGTCTGTGCCCTGTTTCAAATGTGCCAGAGCCCCCAGAGGGCCATATGACCCTAGGTGAGCATGGCTGGTCTAGATGAATAAAAATCTTCACAACCAAGGAATACCTATTTTTAACATCAAACACAGTCATTCTATCAGTGGCACAATATATGTGTTATTGGTGAGGTCCAGACGTCTGGCATACCCAAATTGATATATAGTATTGTGACGGTCAGCTCACACATCACTCCTGTCTGTCAGGTTAGAGCTCTGGTGTGGGAGCCTATGACAGGACAGGAGGGGCGGAACCAATGGAACTAGGAGAGAAAAAAATAGACCGTTTGGGACAGTTAGGGCAGTTGGAGAGAGAGAGAGAAGAAGAGACAGAGATAGAGGGATTGAAAGTATTAAGATAGATAGGATTAGGGCAAGGACTTGGAAAGTTGGTGTATTTGAGAACTGAAGGAGTTAAAAGTAGTAAGAAATACAATAAACAGGTTGAATATTGTAACACCGTGATTAAAATGAATTCTATATAAGTAAACATCTAAAGTCCAAAGCACATTAAATGAATGAATAATTCAAGACCATCCATGATTTTCCTTATGTGATTTACCTATTAACCTATAAATAAACATTGTTATATTTGACAGCATTGATCCATTATTCATATTTGGTATAGTGAGGAGAATATCCTCTGGTGGCAGCATCAAAAGGAAGAAGAAGTCATGCCCAAAGGCAAACCTGGGTGTTAGGGAAAACAAATAGGGGAGCTGGGTGTGTGTGACAAGTATTAATTGGAAGGTTAGCATTCTTCATTTATATTAATGGAACACTGGAGATGGATTTTTCTAGTCCCTGCCCCTCCTTTCAACATGCAGAATTGTCTTCCCTGAAAGTGTACAACACCTATATGCATACCTCTGTCACCCATTCTGTGTCTCTATTGTACAATCAACTGCTCCATCATCACTGCTGCATGCTTTGAAATGAAATCAAAATATTTCTGGTTCATGCATGTATTCATTTCCCTTGTTCTTTTTCTGTTATTCCCCAAATAGTTCAATGCTGAAGAGACAGTTTGCCAATTTAAACAAAAATCATTATTCAGATTCCAGTTATGCCAATTGTTTGTGCATATCTTCACTTACTAGGCATTCCAACTACAATGTGTACATTTCAAGAAATCATTTTCTAAAAGGACTGATGAAATGTATGTGTTGACAGAAGGACCTGATGGTAAAACAAAGAAACGTGTGCTTCGAATATCCAGAAGCCACTGCTTTGTAACAGGTCTAAAGTTTCACTTTTCCCCTCTTGCCTGCCCTGCCCAACACTATTGGGTTGGATCCAGATTTAATCATGGTTAGACTAGATCCTTTTAAATCAGCAAAATGTTACTCATGCCTATTTTAGGTCCCACAATTTCATTGAATCTACTGTAAAAATAGTTCAATCTGAATCCCAGCCCCTCGTCATTTACAACCTTACTTTTCCAATCTGTTTAAAAGGTCGTACGTTTAACTACCATATGCCTCATGTGTTCCGTAGCAAATAGGGTAGCAGTGATTGATAGGCTTCATATCTATATAATCAAAAATAAAAACAAAATGTGTTTGTTTTTCTTATTATTTAGTTGCACATGCATAAACAGACCAACATGGCTACCTTTTGGGGAAAATACTTCAAATGTGTTTAATGCAAAATGAAGTGGAGGTTTCCTTGGAAACTAAGGATTCTGTACAATGATGAAGTATTGGACCCCAACTTAGTTGCATTTATAAAGACTCTTTGAAATTAGAGAAACTTACAGTAAAGTCTTCAATATTTCTACAGATCTATGCTATGGGTGCAGCCACAAAATGTAGCAGAGGTGGCATAGTTAGTCACAGCATTACTCCTAGGGCAGACCTGGGCAAAGTGCGGCCCGAGGGCCACATGCGGCCCCCGAGCTGCTCCTGTCCAGCCCCTGGACAGTTTTGAACACCAAAACCATTTATAGCTTTTTGTCTAAAGTTGATCAGTTGCTTATATTTAACATATCGCAAAAAAACTCTTTAGTATTTGTGAAGATTAACAAGTTTAAAATAAAAACAATCATAACATCACTGTTTCATTTTATTTTTAAGTAAAGTTGGTTCAGCCCCTAAACAGTTCAGATTTTTCATGTGGCCCCCCCATAGAAATTAATTGCCCACCCCTGTCCTAGGGAATGAGGTGGCCTGTTATAAAATGCACGCCCCCATACAATTCCCTCTCCCCTTTGGCTGTTTCCTTCACAGAAATAAAGAGAAAATTAAGAGAGGAAGAGGAAGCAAGAGAAGAAACATGGGGGAGGTAAAATCAAAATAGAAAAATGGGAGAAGGAATGCAAAATAGAAGGAGGAGAAAGCGATAAAGTGGGGGGCAGATCTGAGAAGTGGAAAGGACAGGAAAGCAGAGATCACAGCATTGGACACAGAACAGAAGATAGAATGAAAGGGCAAACAACGTATAAGAGACAACATTTTCACTCTAGGTAAGCTAGGAATTTCTTAAATCATTAACATGGAGTAGGTAGAGTAGCAGTGTTGGGAAAAAGTCTGTGGAGAGAAGCAGGTTATCCCAAAAATCTCCCACTGCAAGTCCTCCACATTCGCCAATACTTATTTTCATGCTCCGTCCGATCCAGGCTTGCTTTGCCTGATCATTTGCTCAGCACCTGGCTTGCTCTGCCCGAGTCATCTCCACCTGGTATCTGTATTTAATCTGTGCACTTGCCTCAGTTTCTCATGGAGACAGAGCTGAACAGGTTGTCTTGAGATGCATTCATTAATAGATTCAAGAGAGTTCTTTGTCACATCACTCAATAAAAGATCTAAGAGGCTGGCATGACACAGATTGGATGAAATTCTGTTGCATAGTTATGCAAAAAGCATAAATTTTGGAAGTGAATTGCCAATTAGGAAATCTCTGAAGAATTATCTGTTCCATACCAAGTCACACTACTTGACGTGCAACAGATAAGGTCTACAGACATTTCTTAACGTACAGCAAGTCACCTCTAAAAGTTACGTTGCTTGCATAACTGCAACAGGATTTAAGCAATACTCTTAGAAATCTGTGGCTTCAAAGATGTAATATTGCAACCTTTCCAAAGCAATATACTGTACAACATATAGATTATAAGTAATAGAGGATTAAGACCATTATTTTAAAAACAGATTAATTACATTTTTAAAGACAGATTTAAAACACAATCTAAAAGCCATGTCTGCCTCTCTGGGTGTTTTCAGGAATACAATTAAAACCTGGCTATTTGGTCAGGTTTTCCCTCCTGCTGTATCTTAATTTCTTATACTTTTGCCACCTTGGATCTATAATATATAATATATTTGTATTGTTCATACATACATACATACATACATACATACATACATACATACATACATACATACATACATACATACATACATAAATAAATAAATAAATAAATAAATAAATAAATAAATATTAAAAGCATTTTAAGAGTAATACAGCTTTGTCTGTCCATGGGATGCTGAACAGGGATGGAAGCCAGCTGACTTCCCTACCTGGGAGTAATCAGGGAGTTATTAATGAGAAAGTTGTGTCTTGTGTAGTCACTAACCTGGCCTCTTAGGGTGATGGGACATGCAGCTGATCGCAACTTCTAGGCAACCATATTAAGAAATGGAGATGCAATAGGAACTCTTGGGAATTGGCCAAGAAATGAGTTTTTTCTCAGGCAGGCCTCTGACTTGGAAACCATGTCAGATACGCAAGCAGTGAGTGGCTTCTGATACTCAATACGATGAAAGAGAGGCTTTTCATGTATACTTGGGACCTCATTCCATTTCTTGCATTATAGAATTTAAGTATGCTATTAGAAATACCTTCTAAATCAGGCTGGATTAATCTCTGATGCAGATAGGAATGTAAATGGCCTTGTGTAATCCACGAGGTGTAAATTTGATCAAAGCAGCGATTGTTAATCTCCTAAACATTTGTTTTCAGATTTTTGTTCATGGATTGAATCCAGAGCAGTGCTTAACAGAGTTCCATTTCCCTTGGGGGAAGGGAGTGAAGAGACAATTATCACAATTCATTCTACTGCAGCCTTTGTGGTTTCTGAAAAGCTACATAGGAGAACAGATCTGGCAGGTCAGCAGTTTCTCATTCCCTGAGATATTACAGAACAAAACCTGAGATTGCAAGCCCTTGTGATATCTGAGGGTGAGGGACTTTATGACGCTACTGGCTGAAATCCTGTTGCTTAGCATAGCAGATTGCACTCCCTTAGATCTATTGAATCAGTGGTGATTTAGTGGGTCAACTGCATTGATACAAATGGGCCTAC